GTGTAATCCTTTGATATGTGGAAGGAGTGATGATGTCATCAGTTCACTGCTCCTCCATGACCATCTTCCTATCTTTAGAGCAGTCAGTGGTGTGTTCACCTCTACTATATTCAGTGATGATGGTAGAAGGTCATCAGATATGTACAGTGAAAAAGCTTGTAATGTGTCGTTGTCCTTTAGTAACTGCTCAATTACTCCATCAGGTAGAGGAGGAGGAGGAGCAAAAGGAACATGTATTGTTAATGATGATATTGTTTTATTTCTTGTTACTCCTCTAATGACACTGGTAATGGTACTTCTGATTTCATTCTTTCCACTATACTCAATCTTCATTTCTTGTAACATTGAAGTCATTTCTATACATTTCTCAAGTTCAGTGCACTTGTCTGTGTAGTATGTACTGTCAACTGTTGGTATAGTAGGTTGTTCTATTATTAAGTGCAGTATCTTCAATTGAGGAAGATTGAGGAACTGTAGCAATACAAGACAGGGAATGTATTGAACAGATGATAATTCACAGTAGCACTCCTGAATATTGTATAGAAGTGATGATTGTAGTAATTTGTGCATTAATTCATCAGTGGGCTGATCCAAAAGTACCTCCAGTCTCTTACACTGGGTCTGTAGTGAGTTATTAGCTAGTCCAGCAGTGAAGATTGGTAGTGACCAGAGAAGTAAAAGTCCCAGGTCCAAGTGATTCCATGTTGTGTTGAAATTGTTTATACAGTAACTGAGACACAACCAGTCAAATGATAATGATACTCTATACAGACACAGTGAGTGCTTGTTGATGGATTGTGCTAATACTTGACATAATGTTGTGTTCTGTGATTCATACAGGAGTTGAAAAAGAAGAATGGGAACATTGTCAAAATCAATAGATTTAATATGATCAAATTGTCTAATCTCAGGATTCTGATAGAAGTAAGAGAGATGACAAATCTCAAATCCAAACAATGGTTTCCTCTTACACTCTACGTCAAGTTGTTGTTTATTAAAATACTGTTGATAGCTTTCATGTTCAAGGTGAGTTAGACCTGCCACAAACCTCAGACACATTCGAAAGTGATCATCATCAAAGTGATCCTTAAACACTTCCTCTGTCTTCTTCTCATACTTAGTTATCCACCATGCAGCTAGAAATTCTTGTATACTCAAGTGAAGGAACTGATACTTCTCCTCATCATATTCTATGAATGTTGTCATCAATCCAAGATAGTCTTCCTTGACTGCCTCACTCAGTGACTGTAGTTGATGTGAAGAGAATGTCATTGTTGTATTAGCCAGGTTAGTATAAGCTAATTGACACATCTCTTGTAAAGGTTTAGCTAATTGTGATGGTAATGAAGAAAGACTACCTAAAGCATGTGGGTTAATGTCATGCCTTTTAACATGTCTTCTGATAGTTTGTAGGATAAAGTTCTCATAGAGTTGAGTGAGTGTTGTTGGTAAGTGTCCTCCTTCCTTACAATAAACTAAGATAGCCATGGAACAGGCTAGTGGTACATAACATAATGATCGAACATCACTACGTACTTTGAGATCATTAATGAGTTTCACTGCTAGTTGTGAGTCCTTACTGCTTTGAATAGTTGTGAAATGTGATTTGTATTCATTGCATTCAGTGTTTTCATCAATGAGTTCTTGTGCTAGTTTTGTATCTTTTTGAAGTGTTTGTATAATTACTGTTGATATTTCTTCCTCAGAAAATCCAATGACCTGAACATGTCTACTCAGAGTATCTATTTTCAAAAGTGAAGAGGAGGCATAGCTACGAGAGGTAACAATTACTGAACATTGGTCTAACTTCTCTTTACAAATGATACTAGCAGCTAATGAAGACCTTCTGAGTTGTTCGCTTAGTTCATCCCAACCATCAAAGATTATCAGTAATCCTTTTCCATCCCTCTCCTCAAACCATTCAGGTACATTTTTATATCTATTAAATTGATGCACAAACAGGTCAGCTAGTGTAGTAGCTGTAGCTATCTTGCTATTTCTTAAAGGACAGTAAAGTACCAAGTCATACTGTTGATGTACAAGTGGTTCATTAGACCACATATTTAACAGTTTACGACAGAGTGTTGTCTTGCCAATACCAGGAGGACCGTCTATTACTACTCTGAGAGACAGAGAACTATCTGTGGGTTGGAGGACATCTTCAACACTTATCTCTTTGTTTCCAGTTAGTTTAACTGTTTTATCAACTTGTCCTCTTAGCAAATGCCAAGCTGATTCTGCTTGTGTGCTGGAGTCTTGTTTTTCTACTAGTGCTAGTCTTCCAAAGAAATCTTTTCCAATTCTTGGTGGCCAGTCTGTAGCAACAATAGGTTGGTGTTTGTAGAGTTGTCTCATATTGTCAGCATATCCTTGAACATCATCAGGTATTGAACTAATGAGTTTAGCTACATCAGACTGACCTATTG